ATATATATATATATATAAAATTTATTTTCATGTACAGTATATGTACCATACTATCTTCAAAAGCTGCTTTTTGAGACGGGCTTCTTTTCGACGCCGGGCTGCTTTTGCCAACTAAAGAGGGATGCTTCAATTCGAGATGGGCTTCTTCTCGAGTCCATTATGCTTCTATTCAAGGTTTACTAACAGTCAGGTTGTGACAATACTCCTAATGGAGGGATGCAGCTTATAAGAATATACTGTATATGATTCAAATCAGAAATTTTGTGTCTGCGATACTGTATAAAATATGTGATGTGTTCACAAGAAGCACAGTGACAAAATATTATTTTTTTTACATAATTATATTCTATGAAATATAACTTATTGGGTTTCAATAGTTTTAAAATTATAAGCAACTGCAGTTGAAGTACTGCACAGGACAACTGACAAAATAGCTGAAAATGTTGGAGTATATGCACAGGTTGTTCAGTTTGGGATAAGTGCAAGCACAGTCAACAGTTACAAAATTCGCTAAGCAACCAACCTAATCATAATGTAGCCTATATTTTATGAAATTTTAAACAAAATTATATCTTTCAGAACTTTTTTTGCTAGACAGTATAGAGAGAATATAAACATAATATTAAAAATATCAGTCTTGGTATTGTTTGACCCGACAACTTAAATTTCTCCAATATTAACTTGCGACCTTGTCCTGAATTTCGCACATATTTTAATTTTATACTGAACAAGAGCGACCGCTCACTTGTCCACACGTTAAACTGAGGTTATCTCTATTCATATTTATTTTTGGGCGTAGGCCTAAATGCTGTCTTCCAATACGCGAATTTATTCGCGCGAATTGGGAATTTTCGCTTATGCCAAGTATACACATGAGCGGCTTAATTTTCAACTACAACTTCCTTACTGCACATGCTCATAAGAAATTGGCGATTCACGCGAATAAATGTGCCTCAAAAACAGCAAGGGTTCATAATTGCCATTAATTACCACCACTAACAGGACAAGATAGTATAATAAATACTCACAAGTATCAAAATTCACGACATCGTGACGAAATTCAATATTTCGAAATTAATTATGTCATCAGGAATGATCAACTAACAGGACACGTTGCATAAATGGTGCGGTCGGTTAATGCTTGTGTTGTAAGAAACTGAAGGTCGTGAGTTTGAATCATGCCTCGGGGTTTAGTTTTTCTTTTTTGTATAAATGAACATTCTAAGATATTTGAGAGCTGTTTGACCAAAAAAAAAAAAATCGGAAGACCTAATAACATAAATACTTAGAATGTTCATTTGTACAAATTGAGAAAATAAAATTGAAAACCAAGATGTGGTTGGAACACATCGTTAATCGTCCTATAATAGTAATAATGTAATGTACAGTACAGAAACCCCTGTTTTGTTGGTGTATGGGGCACCCTGGGGTCCAACTTAAAAAAAACCGGCTATGAACGATTGTTGGAAATCACCTAGTTTATGTGTACAAAAATTCCTGCACGTCCATTCAAAACTGGTGACGCTGGGTGCTTTTTAAGTTTTGGTAGCAAGAAGAACAATTCAGAGAGAGGTTCAGAGGTCCGCCAGCACGGACATAAAAGTCTGACAACAAACATAAAGTAAATACAGCAGTATTTTACACAATTGTTTTATTTTCCAATGTACAGTAATTTATTCAAACTGTGCCAGAGAATAATGCATAATTTTGTTGAAAAGTTTAGGAAATGACCATATTATTATTGATACGCACAAACTTCAGCCACTACAGTATATAAATAATAAATGTTTATGAGCGCAATGGGAAGAATATTTTCATGAGTTGAAAGATTGACTGTTCCATTTGACAAGACGGAGCTGAATTGAATGGAACAGTCAATCTTTCAAATCTTTAAAAATTTTCTTTCCATTACACGAATAAAAAACATTCATTATTTGTTTTATAACACACCTAAAATAGATTGAACGGAGATTCTAGTCAGTTGATGTTTTATGAAAAAATCTACCCTTTTTCTAAATAGAACAATCCAGCATCTCTTTAACCATTCAAAGATTGTTATCCTAGGCTCTGTGCAATGGGGAAAAAAATGGGTGAAAAGAAAATGCATGGATGGAAATAAAAATGCATGGATGGAAATAAAAATGCATGGTAGAACTAAATTTACATGATGAGTGATGAAATGGGGTAAATAACGAATGTAACATGATACGGAATCCACCAATCAATGACAAGGATCTATTTAGGAGCGTTATAATAGAACATGTTGGTAGAGTATTTATTTTAACAGTTTTATTAAAACATTATTCGTTCCTGGGAGCAGTACAAGCAATGGTATAGTATTATATAAAATAGTATATTTGAAGTTGTTTTTTTCTTCCCAGCTTGCTACATTTTCTAATACTATATCCTTTTATCTACTCTTTATTTTTTGGTATTTTCAGCATTGCAATCCACCTTAGAATGGAATGTGAATTAATTGTATTCATGAAGCGAGCAATAATAAATATGAACTGAAATTGTTCTAAACAAGCCAATAAGAGTGACAGTTTCCACACTTGTGAAACAGTCAAATAGCCGCCTTCTCGAGAAACTAATTTTAATTTTTAAGTGGCCAAATCAATTGTGCAAGTTCTTTATACTGTCTTCCTAGATATTGAAGTCTTATTCTTTCCATTATTTCCTTCTTCCCTTTTTCTATTTGCTTTTCTTCACTTTAGATTTGCCTTTAACATTGCTCTTGCCTTTTTTGGATTGTGATGCATCTGTCTTACTCTCAATCTTCTGTAAACAATGGGAAAAGTTTATGTGTCATACATGATGTAATATTTAACAAGTTTCTGAGGTCATCAAGTTTCAATAGACTATAATCTGTACACTCAACTTCACCCTCTAATATCAACATCACATATTTCAGAATACCAAATACAATCATCGTATTAAAGTGGAGTTCTTGAGTTAAAATTTTTATTAAAGAATATGCAGTACAATAAATTACGACCTTATTGGTAAGACATAAAACTGACCCCCAAGCAAGTGAAAAAAGCTTTACTTGCACTGAATTTCATATAATATAATAACATATTATTTAATTTCTTTAATTCTCCATTACACTTCTGATTTTTTTTTTGTGGGATTTCTCAAATAATTACTTTCAAGATTTTAAGGAATAAATAATAAATAATATACTAGGGAAAAATAATTCTTTGGACTACTGCTTTAAAACCTTCATAAAAATTGGAACTAGAACATCTTAAACTACAAACCTTAACATTTGGATCCGATGAGATATCTTCGTCACTTTCATCTGCTTCCTGAACTGCATCATCGTCATCAGCATCAGCTGTCTGCTGCCCTCGTTTCTTTTTAATGTCGCCATTTGAATGCGGAAGAAGATGCGAGGCCTGGTTATAAGCACGTGTAAAAGCACTTTTGACCTGAGAACAAAACAATGTAGAAATGTCACACATGAATATGTTAATAAAAATCTGTTGCACATAAAAAGATTACATTAAATAATATATAATTATAGTAGAACTCCTCCTTTGAGACACCACTATTAAGGGGACTTGAGAGAGCAGCTTAGCTCAGGAGAGAGCAGCTTAGCTCAGTCGGCTAATCTGGTGGTAGCTGCTGTGTGTGCACTGAACCGTGGAGATCTTTAGGTCCCCGGTTCAATTCCCATCGCTGCCTCTCCTTGTGTTTCAGCTAGAGGGCTGAAATACAAGTTACTAGCGCACCGTCTTTCGGATGAGACGTTTAAGCCGTTGGTCCCGTGTGCATTATGGCCTGTGTGCACGTTAAAGAACGCAGTGCACTCTTCGGAAAAGAGTAGGGGATTGTCTCCCGGTGTACTGCCCAACCACCACCAGAAGGACCCCACTGGAAATAAGTCTTCTTCTACTTTCGTGGGCTATCCTTGGTGTTTACACCGAATAAATCCAATCCAATCCAATCCGACACTACGGCCAACCAATATATTCAGGGGATACCCCTTTTAAGGGGACCCTTTTTTTGGTCCTGAAAGTGTCCTCCTAATAGAGGTTCAACTGTAATATCATAATATATTGGTTGTGTTACTAAGCAAGAACAGAATTCATGAATCATTAGATCAAAGACTTCAGTTTCTTTGCTTACAGTTTGAAACAAATAAAAAAATCAATCAATAAACAGATAAATTCCATAAGAGGCTGAAAAATGTGAGTCCTAATTTATGTAAATTGAGCATTACAACCTTGTGTGTACAAATACTCACGAGGTAGTATTGTAAATGACTAAGTACTACTGAACTTACAACATTTTGTTTGTAGGCTTCAGTGAGGCACTTATAACAAAGAGGTCCTTTGTGAGCAGTGCTTATAAAAAATGTTGTGTTAAAATGGTATTATATGTGTTGTGATATCCACACTTTCCACAAGGTTATTGTTACTTATGTTTATTTGTGTACTGATACAAAACACATTGTGTATGTACTCTAGATTAAGCTTGAATATATCGCTAATAAACAATACACTTATTCAAGAGCAGTGTTGTGTAAGCAACCACATTTGTGTGTTATAGCAATAACCTTGAAAAAATATGAGATAGGAACTTTTTGTCTGTGATTTCTTTTTATTTGTAGTTGTTTACAATTTATAATGCATATGGTTTTAAGTTGAACTCAATCATAATAACACATAAAATATAAACATATTATAATATTATTATTACATCAAGAATGTTTTCAATTTGACACAAACCTTTGATGGGACTCGACTCCATGTGTCATTTTTCCCAAATTGACTGACCTCAAGCAAACTACTCAAATCATCCCGGGTGAGGTCATAATCATCCAAGAGCTGAATGACCTCTGGAACACCCTGGTTCTCCCGTTGGAGTAGTGGATCTGTGAGTCTCCCACGCAGATGAGGGCAGTATGCAAGGTTTATATCCTGCAGGCTTCCTGATGTTCTGATTATAAAGAGAACTATTTGTTAACAACAGCAACATAAATATTTACACTCTGTAAAGTAAACAACATGCAAATCAACAGTGATGTAAGTTGTTTGAAACACTCTTATCTGGATAATGAATATGCTTAAAAAAAATGCAGATATCTGTTATGACAAATGCTCATTTGGATAGCCTCATCATGGTTGGAATACATCGTGATAGGTGAAGCAACCTCGACCATGACAGCGTGGTTGACATATTTCATGCAAAATTTCCAAAATATAGAATTTCACTTTTAAGAATGAGGATTTGAAAATAAATTAGATGGTTACATTACATACTCTTTGTTTCTTGTTTTATTTAAAATATTTTGGTTTTGGAAGCTGATTTCAACATTAGAAAGCATAGCCTACATGAAGTCATATTATAGTAACTCGATGCCTATGAAATAAGTAGTAAGCTTTATTTAAAATGTTTTGGTTTTGGAAGCCGATTTCAACATTAGAAAGCATAGCCTACATGAAGTCATATTATAGTAACTCGATGCCTATCAAATATGTAATAAAAATTCGCCATAATTCATCAAATATTTAATCCGATCAGAATGACAAAATAAACTAAGTATCCACTGGAAGGGATCCCAATATCTGCAGACGGATCCGTTTCGGCCTTCCAGGCCTCATCAGTGCAGCTGGGGTATAGACCCAAACGAAACATTTGACCAGCTTAGGTAGGGCCCAAGCCAGTCCCACGACCACTAATGATTACAGAGCCAAACCAAGGCAATATATATACACAGCCCAGGTGTGAATGCAAATAGTGGAATACAAGCTATGTAATAACTATTAAAAAAAAACTATTTTAATAGTTTTGCATTATGTGGCCGCTTGCTGTTTCATGGGTTTTTCCCATTTGCCTTTTAAAATTTATTTATATTTCATTAAAGAATCTCTTTTGAGATCCAGCAGGCCGCCATTGATGCACGGTAGAGATTGCATCTTTAGATTTCCGATCTTGTTCACAAATTTGCGGACTAGTGCTGTCTCGTAAGAATTTAGTAGGACGCGTAAAGAATGACAAAATATTCTCTGTATCTACTGGAACCGAGCCACATAGTTTGTATTCCACTATTTGCATTCACACCTGGGCTGTGTATATATATTGCCTTGGTTTGGCTCTGTAATCATTAGTGGTCGTGGGACTGGCTTGGGCCCTACCTAAGCTGGTCAAACGTTTCGTTTGGGTCTATACCCCAGCTGCACTGATGAGGCCTGGAAGGCCGAAACGGATCCGTCTGCAGATATTGGGAACCCTTCCAGTGGATACTTAGTTTATTTTGTCATTCTGATCGGATTTTCTCTACTGTTCCGTATTAATTTTTAATAGTTTTGCATTATGTGGCCGCTTGCTGTTTCATGGGTTTTTCCCATTTGCCTTTTAAAATTTATATATATATATATATATATATATCACAATGCTATCATCTGCATTTCCTTATCATACAATGCAGTGGTCTGATACAGATGATTCCAATATTTTTAGATACATTTCTAGATAAAGAAAACTTGATATAGTTCATACAATAAGTATTCACTAAATAGACTTTAAAAATGTGTTGAGTTGGAAGTCTAGTGTGTTTAACATAATCAACTACAGCCATCCTAATGCCTCTTGAAAAGGTAAACATCCTAATTTAGCTACATTTACATCAAAGAAAATGTTATTATGATGATATGAAAACATGTAAATATTATTTACAGGTTTTACATTTTGAACAAAGGAATGAAAGCTTACGGAAGCCGCATATGCTGCTGTAATTCTTGAAGTAGGCGATAATTCTTGTTACGTGTTGAATTCTTGCCGAGCCAGCTAGGAAAGTTGATCATGTGACTCATGAATCCTTGCATATATTCACCAGGAAGAACACTTGCAAATAAGGCCTGGAATATAAAAATAAAAATTTCAAGGGAATTATTCAATTACTAGAGTTTTTGCCTTTTTAGCTCCGATGAGGAGCTCTAGGAATACCCGGCTGATTGATTAATACATCTTTTTGTGCTCATTGCTTAATAGATCTTTCTTGTATGGGCGGCCATTTAGGCCAATATACTATACTGCCTCTATTATACTGCCCTCATCGGAGCTTTTGAGATTATGAGACTTGTTTTGATTATGATGCATTAATCTTACATGTACTCTAAAGTTTCTATAAACAACAAGCCTGTAGCCAGGAATGTTTGAGGGGTTTGAAAGAACCCTCTCCTCCCCACACCCTTCCACCCCCTCCTTTTCCAGAAAATTCACTTTTAAATTATTAGTAAAAAGCACCATCTGCATGGAAATTGTTGAAATTAATTCAAATTATTTGAAATTTGGCATTTTTAGTGCGATTTCTGGACATCTAACATGTTGTGTCTTTAAAATTTACCCCAAAAATGGTAAGGTTTAGGTGGGTGTGGACTGAAAGTGCCATTTTGTAAAAAAAACTTAGAACTCCCCTTCCAAAACCTTGCCTATATAGGCTTGAATGAAGTGCAAAGGAAATGGCATAAATGATGCAATAGTTCACCAAATATTTTATTTCATTCTGTAACCAGTGAATCACTCACAATTTCATTAATAAATAAATTATTTTTTTAACCTGTGTTGGTAGCAGGTTCCATGAGTTCCTTGACCTGATAGACTTGTCAATAAGGTCACTGTTACATAAACTATCTGCAGTTTTACTCAGAAGATCAAGGTGTTTCTTTTTATCTGACCTGAAATATAAACGAAACAACAGCAAAATAATAGTAAGAAACAACAGATAATAGTGACGTAGAACAAAAGAAGAATATTTGTTTGCTTTTTTGTAGATTCACCACTTTGTTATTGTTCGATAGAAAAAAACGTAAACAAAAATCCTAATCCTCTTTAGAAAATATTAGTAATACAATCAGCAAAACGATAAATTTACCGTATGTATTATAAGAATTTTTTACATCAAATCGTACAGGGATTATAACAAAACCAAGGGATTGCTAAATTTATATTTAATTATCCCAAATACAACAGACACTTCAGTTTTGTTTGAAACAATTGAATTAACTGGCCTTGAAGAAGGGAGAAGAATTATGAGACATATCCAGAAGAAGAGAAAATCAACATCATCAACATCTTGTTGCTCTTGAAAAGACTTTACAACTCTAAACCTTCAGAGTGTGATTAGTACAAAGTTTCAGTAAACTACTGTTTCATTCCATGGACAACAACTACATTTAAAAAAAATATGGGTATCAATTTTTATAAATAACTTCCCATTATTTATGAACTTGAAGTGCTGGTCTTGGAGAAGTATCAACGTAAAAACTGAAGATTAAAGTTCAACTGAGGTAATTAGAATGATGTTCAACAAGTAGCGTTTATCAAAAACACAGCGCCAAAGGTACCTAAGACTAGAAACAATTATTGCAGAAACAACAGTATCAGGAGGTGAACTGAATTACACCAGCTATTTGGCATAAAGATCAACTTGCTGCAATCTAAAAAGAAGACAAGAGGCACAAAACCAAGACATTTTTAAAACAGACATTTCAGTTTTGTTTGAAACTATTGAATTAACTGGACTTGAATAAGAGAGATAATTTTAAACTATGGTTTCTATACATGGACAACAATCAAATTTTTTGAAAATGTGGTTATTAACATAGCCAAGACAAGGAGGAATTGCAGAAAGAACTGTATCAGGACGTGAACTGAATTACACCAGCAATCTGGCATAAAGATCAACTTACTGAAATCTAAAAAGAAGACAAGCAGCATGTTAAAAACAGACATTTCAGTTTTGTATGAAACTACTGAATTAACTGGACTTGAATAAGGGAGATAATTTTAGAAGTATGAAACATATCCAGAAGAGAAAATCAACATTGTCAAAAAAGTTGATCTTGAAAAGACTTCACAACTCTGAACTTTTAGAGTGTCATTAAGACAATGTTTCAGCAAACTACTCTTTCTATCCTTGGAAAGCAATTACAATTTTTTTGAAATGTGGGTATTGATTTTGTGGATACTTCTCATCATTCATGAATTTGAATTGTTGGTAGTGAAAATTGAAGACCAAAATTCAACCGAGGTAATCAAAATGATGCTAAAAATGAGGAATTAACATAGCACTAGCAGTAGCTAAGACAAGAAGGAATTGCAGAAAAAACTGTATCAGGATGTGAACTGAATAACACCAGCAATCTGGAATAAAGATCAACTTACTGCAACCTAAAAAAGAAGACAAGAAGCACAAGCCAAGTCAACATCTATGCAAAAAAGGAAGATGGAGCAACATCACTGTAAGTATTATTAAATCAACAGATTCATTTATGGTATTTATAACAAGTGGGATTCTTATCTACTTAATAATAACAATAACAATAATAATAATAATAGATGGATTTATATAGCACAAAAAAAACAAGGTCTTCTATGTGCTTGACAATAGGTAAGAAGACAACAAAAAAAAGTCTAAATTTTATAAGCAAGGGAAAAAAAATAAAAAAAACACCAAGCTAGCACCCAAACCGAAGTATGGGGTTACACCATCACCGCCAACCGGAGATCTGTGTTTATGTACTCCGGTTAGCATCGGTTAAGTCTTGATCTTTTCTGGGATCAGGTGCCTCCTAACCTGGACCAAACAACACTAACTAGCGAGGTGAAACCAAGAATTCTAAAAAAAAATGGAGAAAAAAATGTAATTATAAAGAGGCAAATACAAAAGTTTTGAGTCGCTTCTTAAAGATGCCAGTGGATAAAAATATCACATACTTCAACAGGCAGCGTATTCGACATTTCTGGAGCCGCAACTTGAAATAAGCGCTCAAAGTACGTTTTCCAACGGCACGCAGGAACAAATGATGTTGATGAACGCTGCTGTTCGTAAGCCAATGTAGGTTTACGAGTGTTGGCGTAATGCTGTGTAACTTTGGGGTAAGTTTAATTAGACATGCGACTGAGTAAAGATGAAGTTGTGAATTTTTTATAAGTGTGTCTGGAAGTCCATTTAGGATACCATTGTAATAGTCCAGTTTTGAAGTTATAAAGAGCATGACAACGTATTTAATTGCATCTTCATTCACGATACGTCTGATGTGCCTGATATTACGGATGTGATAATTTACAGACTTACAAAACGTTGCTTCAAAGACATCACGCTGTCAAAAGTCACATCACATTGCAGACTTTCAATGATGTAGTGATCGTTGTGTTATCAACGCAAAGACACTTCAGATGGGTGAACTTCAGACTTGGTCGCGTTAAAAGAAAGCGTATTTGTGGATAACTAAATTTGTACCTTATCAAGACAGGCTTAAACATGATCAGCTGCATCTTCCATCGTATCAGGTTTAAAGCCGAGGTATAACTTCATGACATGATATTAACATGATAATGCCATAAATGCTTGGTGATGATATCGCTGAGGGGACAGATGTAAATGGTGAGCATAGGACACAAGAGTTGCTCCATGTAGGATGCCACATTCCAGGAAAGCAGGATCAGAAATAGATGATTTAACTTTAACACACTGGCGTCGTGATATTAAATACGAGTGAAACCAGTTGAGTGCTGAACCAGAGATACAAAGGTCAACTAACGATTAAGGAGAATCGTTCAGCTACTTATAATGTGCACGAGTACATTAAAGGCTATCCTTGAAAGGACAAAGTCATGTGCTTTTTCTGCTGTGTTTTTATTGTTTGAGCAATCGTTGCGTTTAGATCCCACAGTCACTTTATCCTTTTCTCGCAAAAGATTATGGTGGGCTAGCCGCAGCCTGAAGGTTAACAAGCATCTTGAATGCCACTGAAATCTGGCTTACATCAGTTCATCCTGGAAAGTATTCACAAAATAGACAAGAAAATGATGAAATAGTGGTTTTGTTTGATGTAATGATCTGTTATTCCATTTGAAGCACTGTGTTACTGTCATGAAATCCAGCAAATTTTGATATGTTCCTAAAGGCATTCTTGGCGTTCCATACTTGTTGATCACAAACTTGTGTGCAGATAGATCGTTATTATGCAAATTTGTCATGGTAGATGTTATGTAGCGTTAGCGAGGGTTCTATTTCAGTGTACTTCGGGTAGGCAGCCGGGTATGTTCGTTGCTGGTAGTTAAATTTGCTTGTTGAGACAATGAAACACTTACTCCTTCAGCCAGCCGTTGCGACAGCGAGTAAATTTACGGTATAGATATTGTTATGATAGGCCTAACCATTGTGAGTAATTATATGGTGTAGATTCGTTTATCGCCCTAGCTCCCCTATATAAGCCCTGCATGAATAAACAATATCCTTGTTGTCTTGTATAGACGTGTGAAAGCTTGCCAATTGTTGTTTAACAAAGAGTTGTGAAGTTGTAGCGTTTCCTGTAGCCATGTCCACGCGGAAGCCTACCAGTTCGATGTGTGGTGGGCCTAGGCCTAGCCCACGCGATGATAAGCACCCTGCTGGCTCTGCTAAGAGTTGTACGTGTCTACCTTATGTGTTTATCCAGCTTGGAAAGCGTGTCTAGCCCTTTACTTGCAAGTATACTCATGAGAACTTTATTCTGCTTTTATGCCATGGCCTTTATTTTAGTAAATCCATTCACCATACGGTGTAATTAGTAGATGAGTTGTGCCTTTTATACTGTATGAATGGCACTTGTATTGCGTGGGTTAAGTATTTAATAAATCATAGTTACTTAAATAGTATTGCATATTGTATTTTATACAGTTACCTAACTCGGAGGCACAGAAAGGCAGCTCCCACTATACTTTCGTGAAAGTTACTGACATCTCACTCAAAAAAACACCATATATTTGGTCAAAAGCTGTGATATACATATTGAAAGTTAAGGAGTTCATTAAAAAAGCAGAATGAGTAGCAACATTTAACATGTAACAGCAGAATGAATTGCAACCTATTCCCAGCACACCAAACACTAGCTATAGTTGGTTTATCCAGGTAATTCACAAAATAGAATTGAAGAATTGGTATGTAATAATAATATCAAAATCAATATTTTAGTGTTAACGAGGCTGTGACTTACTTTCCTTCTTGGGGAACTACGCTGATGTAGTTCTCTTGGACAAACAATGGCCCCATCGAATAATCATGAAAAAACAGGTTGAACTTGTCATTTAGACTCATCTTGCTACGCTCAACTCCTGATGTAAAAACTCTTCGGACAACTTCAAATGGTCCCTGAAAAACAAAATTACTCATCATCTAGCAAGAAAACATATTCATAAGTGTCCACAAATGATAAAAAAACCCCCAAAAAACAGAAGGATGATAAACTGCTACGATAAAGATGTATTAGTGTTGTTTTTGCCATGCTTTGTTCAGCACATGCTAGGTACTTCGATGAAAGGACAACTGGATTCATAAAATTATAAACAGACATAGTGCAAGCAAGGAGCTCAGTATAGGAAAATGGTTGGTTCAGTGGTGTTTCCTCCAAAATAAACAATGTGATTTTGCTGCTTCTGCTTCTCTGTCTTTGCAGATTGCAGAGTGGTAGCCACTGTGTGTGCGCTGACCCATGGAGATCTCTAGGTCCCCGGTTCAATTCCCATCGTTGCCTCTCCTTGTGTTTCAGCTAGAGGGCTGAAATACAAGTTACAATAGCGCACCGTCTTTCGGATGAGACGTTTAAGCCGTTGGTCCCGTGTGCATTTATGGCCCATGTGCACGTTAAAGAATGCAGTACACTCTTCAGAAAAGAGTAGGGGATTGTACTGTGCAATCACCACCAGAACTACCCCACTGGAAGTAAGTCTTCTTGTAGACTTTCGTGGGCTATCCTTGGTGTTTACACCGAATGAATATAATCCAATCCAATTGTATTTACTTAAGGTGATAGATACTTAAATGATAAAACACAATTTTTATTATTGCACATATTATTGAGACCGCAATCCAACCCTAACATTTAGGATGAGCAAATTTGAGTTTCAGTTTTGTTTAACTTTCAATAAAAGATTTGCCAAAAAATCTCACCAGTTTCATGTCTTTCTTTGCATTGTTGGCATCAGATTTTAATTGTTCGTGGGTTATACTCTTCTGTCCAGCCGTCCACATACTTAGATTGTGAAGAACCTGTAAATCATGTCAGAGAATGCAACAAAACTACAAATGATGCATGTAACTAATGGACAATTTAGCAGTATATTATTATTTTTTAATATAGTACTAGTATTCAACACAAAAAGAGGCTATTTTGCTTCAGTTTCCTGTATATTTTTAACCATACACAATAAAATTGTGTTATTGATCTGCATAAACTAATTCATTATTAGTCAACTACAGTATACAAAAAATATAAGATGCATAGTATAGGATACAAACTCTGACCAGGCTGCAAATCGATCACTCTACTCAAATCCTGACACTGTAACATGTACCTCAAAATCCACATGAGATGTTGTGTTTAGCAATAATAAAGGCTTCCTAGCAGCTGTTTGTGTACTAACCTGCCTAATATCTTGATTGGATGCTATGATGATGTCATCCATTGCTTGCGGTGGGATCTTAATGCCTTCTTTGCATGCCACAGACATCATGGATGCCTAAAATTAATACAAATTATTGAAAGAAAATACAAAATAATCATTTCACCACATATTCTTTCAAACTGTACTGGTTCTGGTACGAGCATTTATATTGCGCCTTTTCCTTTCGGATATAAAGCGCACAATGACTGTGGTAATAAGGAAATGAAGACACAAACAAACAATTTCCGAGAACAAATGGTTTTGAGTCAACATTCATCTAATGTTAAAGATGGTAAAAAAAAAAAAATTGTATTACTGACCTTTATCTGTTTGACCTGTGGCCTTTGGAATCGGAGGTCAAAGCAATGATTTGCTAATGACCTTATTTTTTGATGCATCCTGTCATTACACATACAAATTATTGGAATTTTAGAGCTCTTTATCAGCTGAATCAATTCCTACGAAAGAACATAAAATAATGTTAAAATATTAGTACTGTAAAAAATAAGGGCATATCCTAATTTGGATGTCGCTGGAGCCTAGCCTACTGCCACTGGAGTACCTCCATGTATGCTGGAGTGAAGTTGACGCTGCCATTAAGATGAAACTTTTTTATACCTTGTTTCGCGAACAATTTTTTTAATAGATCATCAGAGGGCGGAAAAAAAAATATAAGTTTATTTTCTTATTTAGCAAATAATTTTGCCAAAAATTGCGATTGTAAACAGTGTAGTAATGAGATAGTTAAATATCCTTTAAATTTATATAATTAGTAAGAAATATACATACAATATCTTATTTTTGGATATTTCAAGGCAGTGGTGGCGAAATAAAAACAAAGAAAAACTTTCAGTTTTTTCTGAAATTTCCATTTGTTCGAGGTGGCGGTGGCAGAAATGGGGGGAGGGTGAGCTGATTGGACAAAAATAAAATTTTATTTTATTCGAAATCATCACTACCAGCGAGCAGCGAGTCTTGCCTTACAATAAAATAAAATAAAAAATAACTAAATAATTAAAACATTCAGAATATATATTTCTGTAAAAATTATATGAATACCATTTTTTTAAGTGTATGAGCTACAGCATTGGCAGAAATCCTCTTTTATATGAATCTTATTCATCAGACTATAGTCTGATATGAAAAGTTCTGAGGGTAATTATACCTGCATGCCGCCTCTGTCTTCATTGCCGGCCATGCCATCGACCTCGTCCATAATCAGACAATGCTTCTGATTCTTAACGGTCAAGTTCCGACTCATCAATGTCGTAATATCTTGGTTGTCAAGGAGCTCTGATACAACTGTTTGTAAGCTTTTCTTACTCCTCGTGTCACTGGCATTGAATTCAACAAATGAATACCCAACTTCCTGCAAACAAATTTATAAGAATATTATTAAAAAGAAGATTAGATTTAGATTAGATTAAATATATGGGCAAGTTTTAGGTTATTAGCTTTTTAGACTCCTTATCTTAGTCTCTCAAAAAATTGTCCAAGCGGTATTTAACACATTACAGACGGAGCTGAGATAATGTATTCAGGTAGGCCATTCCATACTTCAACAACTCTTTGTGTAAAAAAGTATTTTCTGCATAACAAACCTTTGTTTAAATTTTCTTTGTATAAACATAGACTATGACCTCTAGTTTGTACACGCCTCTGGCATTCAGATTGCTTTTAAAAAAAACTGCTTAAATCTACTCCCTCACATTTGTGTATAGTCTTAGAGAGTTTGATAAGGTCACCTCTTATTCTTCTCTGTTTCATGGTTGTTAATCCAAGATTGCGCAACCTGGCCTCATACGGTAAATCTTTAAATTCTGGAATCATCTTAGTAGCGCGCCTCTGAACTTTTTCCAAGACATCAATATCTTTTTGTAAATATGGATTCCAAATGCGACCTGTATATATTACCGAAACTAGATTTGTCAACATATCTAAAAGTTCTTTTAATTACTCTCAGACTGTTCATAGCTCGTTGAGCTGCTTTGTTGCATTGTAAACTTGGTTTGCAATCTCTTGTAATGACTACTCAAGGAGCTTTGATAGAATCAACAACACAAAGCTCCCTATGATCAATTGTGTACTTGAAAAACTTATTTGAGTGACCAAAATGCATTACCCAATGTCCAATACAGTTTGCTGTTTGATTATAATTGTTAAATTATAATTGTTTATACTATAGAATGTATTGAGATAGAAAAATCTATATGAATTGTATGACCCCAAATAAAAGATGTAGAGCGTCTTGAGTGCATGTTTGTTTTTTGACGGGATTTGACACTCAGCAAAGAGATTAAGTTCGCTATTTGGCATACCATTTACCTTCGGCCTAAAACAGAAAAACAAAATCTTTGAAATGAAAACAAAATTAGTATACAGTTGAACTACCTTGCAAACTAACGTGGCTGATGTAGTCTTGCCAATCCCAGGAGGTCCTGAAAGTAATGCTGCTTTGCACCCAGCACCAGTATCACGATTGTATTTGCCTATCATGGAATAAATACAGTATCAGTTACAAATAGCATTCTTCTTATGATATTGGTTGGGAGAGGGAGGGAGTTTCCCTTACACCCAACTTCTTGGGATCTATCAGTTTATCAAGCAGCCGCAAAATATAAACAGATAATTGCTATAGGTACTACCTTATCTTGCTCTATTAATATTACAGTACATACAATACTGCATTATACTTAAAGACAAATATTTCAAGGAGTTCGTATAATAAAATTTATAATAATAATGTAATAATGATAATGAACAAACCATTTAAAAAAAAAAAACAAGATTTTTCAAGTGAATAATATAAAAGTTAACCTTTAATACTTGTGCCTGTTGCATTGTGGGTATCCCATTCTTTGAGCCATCTCATTAACTTCTTTACATTGCTTTTGTCTCCATGTTGTCCAATTATTTGTTTAATGTTCTTTGGTTTATATTTATCTACCCACATCAATGACTCCTGAGTGGAGATGCTTGAAGGTAATTGACTGTCTGATAAAGAGTGCTGTGAATTCTGACTTTCTGATTGGCTCTGTATCATTTCAGAATATGGCGCTTGCAATTGGCTGGATGAAGTTGAGGATTGTGAATCAAGGGTCTGTGATTGGCTGGAAGCTGCACAGTCTGCTTCTTCAATTTCAAAAGACTGTTCTTCAATTGGTGATTCTGGAATGCTCTTTATTGGCTAAAATAAAAATTGAATTAATTATAAGTTAGGCCTATCTTGGTACCTAAATACATACAGTAATACCAAGGCTTCATTTACATCTCATAATCCCAACTTGTAAAATATTAGAGTTAACTACTTTTTCCTTGAAGTGTTGGGGAAAGACAAACTAGACTGAGGGTTGGTAGAGGAATGATTCTATGGAGAACGCAATTCTACAACGTGTACACTATGGATCATATATAATTGCAATCAATTCAAACAGCCACTAACAAGCATTAGACGGCATCGCGTCACCCAACGCTAAAAGGAAGCGGCGTTGGATTCGTTGGCTGCAGTGACCGGCTTTACTGTTCATACCTTTACACTGCCCTTCTTGCCAGGTCTTGTGCGAATCAGTTCAAATAAATCATCTTCTGTCAGCTGCTTAATTCCAAACTCTTCAGCCTGCATCCACAAAGAAACACATTTAAGGAGTTAAGCCCTGTCCAGACTTATCAAATTTCATTTGACAAAATCATGTAACATGACTATATATGGTCATGATGACATCACATCATGACCATATATAGGCACATTATAACTATATATGGACATACAACAGTTTTCTGTCAAAGAAAATGTTATAGTGTGGATAAACCTTTAGTAACAAAACATTTTCATTTGAAGAGGGTAGTAAAAAAAAAAGATAAATATGTTAATGTTTAGATAAAGCCATACAGACGTGCTTAAACCACAATTACCTTTTCAAGTTTCTTTTCTCCTGCACCACGACCAACAACAAGATACTTGGTTTTCTTGCTAATGCTGGTCGTGACTTTACCACCATGACGCTTAATCAGGTCGATGGCATCCCCTTTCTCGATGGAATCCAGAATACCAGTGATAACGAATGTACAATTATCAAGACAACCTGCTGCTCCCTAAAAAAACCAATTGAATACGGTATAACCTAAACCCGACCATGTTTAGTATTCACATTATGTCTTCTATGCGCAAAGTATAATACTAAAACATATAAAATGACATACTCCTATAAATGCAACATTATGAACTTCAGTGGTTCATAACCATCTTATGGTTCATTTCCTATGCATGCAATCATAATATTCAACTTAAGCCTAATTACCTCAGGGATTTCCTTTGTACCCAGAGCTTGGGGCCCTTCACGGTTCAGGTAGGAGAAGTAGCTGGGGTTAGCCTTGCGTTTTCCATCCTTAGGAGTCTTTGGTGGCGTGGTCTCCACAATCTTGGGTTTGCTTTCCTTTTTGGTGAATTCCAGTTTGCTTTTAGATGTTGCTGCTTTTTTTGTAGGGGTTTTCCTCGCAGGTGTTTTACTATTTGACTTGACAGGGGTAACGCTTGCTTTACGAGAGGAATTCTTGTTTGGTGTGGTGCTCTGTGTCCTACTTGAAATCTATGAAGGAAAACACTAAAGAATGTAACTTCTATTTATTTCAACAAATTCTACTTCCACATCAACTACTAAGAATTAGGCTTTTGGGTAGACCTGTCAATCATCCTTTTGACTGAAAGCTTTTTAAATATGATTTATTAAATTTTTTTTAAAAACCAAACACAAACCTTATTATCCGGTGATTCTTTAACAACGTTTTGAGTCACAGATTTTCTGGGTGAGGATCTCCTGACAGGGGGTGTATCTTCGACAAAAATTTTCTTTAACTTTGAAGACAGTTTGCTAGACAATGTCTTTGTTTCTAAAAAATCAAATGAACAAATGATTTTACAAATTGTAATTGTACAATCACAAAAATTGTATTGTAAAAATATTTAATTTTAATATGAAACTAAGTAAACAAATTGATATAAATATCACAAATTAATTTTAATTTTAAAACATTGTTGTTACTCAACTGAGAACCTACCTCCATCCACAAGCAAGAATTGTCTTGACAGGCACCCACAATTTACAGGAGTTTCTTGGAAATCAGAGCAGTCTCCCTCAAGCAAGCAAGAATCTCCCGGAATATAACCCATTTTCCACAAATTCATAATACTTGGATGTTTTTATTATCAATTTTCCCAAAGAAACCAGTGCCGATGGTATCACCACGCTCAGCAAAATAATGTGTTAAGAAAGACTGTTTGACACGTTGGCTGCCAGCAACGAGTATACTCACCCACAGGGTGTTGCTGAGGGCGCCAAGGACGAGTATACTTGTCAAAATCAGGGGAACATTTTAGCGTTTATAACTTCTTTGCTATATATTGTAGAACCACAGACTCAACGGCTGGTAGTTTGGGGAAGATACACCTAGACAATAACGTACAAATGACATATGTATGTATGTTTGTTGTGTTGCCGGTAGTACACTCGAGCAGCACAAGTGGGGTGACCCTTTCAACAAATACCAACCCATGCAAAAAGCAGACAAGATAACTTGCACTTGGTATAGTCAATAAAGAGTTCTACCACAGGCCTGTCAACGAGTTTACTCGCCCCCTAATATTTTCCCGCAAAGTTATTAGACAGATCATTTTGATGATATGTCTAGATAAAATTTAAAAAAAGTATGTGTGTACATGTAAACTTGTTTTGGCACACAGGAAGGAACTTTAAAAAAAAGGTCTGGCAGCCAACGTGTTAACCAGATGTTCTGAAAGTGGCTTCTTCCAACTTATATATACACAATACCTACCATCGCTGGCTGACTTTTCTGAGGGTGCAGGGCTGGAAGCTGCAAAGGACCGTCTTGAGCTTCTCCGAGGAGAACTTGCGGGTTCATCAGCCTCCATCTTTTTCCTCTGAAGAAGAAAACATTTACTGAACAAGGTCATCCTCATTTTTAACAACCCTATTTGAAATAAATAGTGTTATACGCAAAACACAATGTAGTATATAACTATGTTAGAACACATCTTTGTACTTGTATACCTTCTACACATTTACAATACTAAAGGAAATTAGTTTTTCTTTTAAAAAAACACACTAAGACTAATTTTTCAATGTCAGGAAATTACCTTTTTTGGAGTGGACTCTTCATCAATTTGAAAAAGTGTTTTCTGAAAATCGTCATCCTCATGATGCTCTTCTGAAGCAGATTTGCGGCTAATTGGAAATGCCTTCAATTGAAATAGAATGACCATTGTAATTTTACTGAAAACGGTTCTAAAAATTTCAATTTATTCAACATTTGATATGGCAACAAAGAACTGCCAGCGACGAGTATACTCTGCCAGTGCTGAGGGCACCAGGGACGAGTATACTTGTCAAAATCGGGGTAACATTCTAGTGTTTATAACTTCTTTGTTATACATTGTAGAACCACAGCCTCAACAGCTGGTTGTTCGGGTTAAGATATATGACTAGATGAAATTTCAAAAAATGTAAACTTGTTTTGGCACACGGGAAGGAACTTTAAAAAAAGGTCTGGCAGTCAACGTGTTAACAATAAAACAAGGAAAATCACAACTTCATCTCACCAAAAGGACTTTAAAATAAAAAACAACACTAAAATTACTGGATTAAAATATAACTGGAGAGGTCTTTAATTATAATGGAGACCTGCATGTATATTTCTTTTAAATATACTTAATTAAAATAATAAAATAACATAAATAAAAATTAGTACCTGTGTTTTCCTTTCTTTTTTGACTGACCGCTGAATTGGACCTGAACCAAAGAAGTCAATGGCTGATGTTGTTTTCAATGGTTTTGGAGACACATCCAGCTTCTTTGAAGGTGTTTTTCTATTTCCATTACTGTTTGCTGAAAAAACAAGTAAACCGCAGAGTATGATCATAGATGGCATAGCAGGATAATAAGACGTCACCAAGTATTTATACATACAATCTCATTGGGATTCAATATTTCAAATAATTTATTTATTTATTGAAAAAGTAAAATACACATCTGCCTGAAGAAGAAAGTATTAAATAAAGGTGTTTTACCAACAATGAGATACAAAAGCAGGGATGTGGACCCTATCAGACAGGCAACAGATGGAGTACAGCTCTAACAGTCTGGACACCACTGATGGGGAAAGGGAACAAGACAAAGAAAGAGATGGAGAGATGAAATTGATTAGTACTGGGGTTGTGTTGTCAGCTGGTGTTGCAAAGCAAGACACATTTTGAGGCAGCATGCTAAGGCTTTCTTCCCCCAAATAGACCAACAACAGTTGACTATGATTATTTCAAATATATCAGTGTAATTTGTCTTTGTAAACCTTGATCACTAAATATTCATAAATGTCACTTGTCATTTGACTAGATTACAATTCTTGATAGATAGCTACTGTACTGCACTGAACTTTGGACATAGGTCCTTCCAATTCACTCTTCCTATGTAAAATTACCTTTACTCTGACTCTTTGCTGTTGCCACATCATCATCCGAATTATCAGAATCATAGATGATGTTAGGTTTTTTGGTCTTGGAAGAATAACTGGGTTTGTCATCAGTTCTCTTCCGTTTCCCAGATGCACTTCCTTTGCTCTGAGAATTGGTCTTAAAGGAGACAGGCTTGAAGAAACTCCTTATGTCGGTCTATGAAAACAATTCAATCTTTCTTTCTAATATAAGTATTTGCATATGATTACATTTACACTACAGATGTACTTTAAAATAATATTAAATAATGACTGGTATTTTAGAGTTATCAGACGCGGATCCAGTAGGGGGACACGGCCCCCCCTCGTTC